TTTTCCCGTCATTTTTCTGTCTTTTATTCGCCTTATTAGTTTCTCTCGTTCTGCCTACCTGCTTCTCTTCTCCTGTCCTCATTCCTGTCTTTATTTGCCGTACCTGTCTCTTTGTTCATTTAACCTATTTTTTCTTATTTTCTTCCTCCCTCTTCATTGTCATTATGCGGTTTCGACGTTCTTATGTGTATTTGTTTATTTATCTATTTGTTTTATACTATTTTTGAAGGGAGGGGGGGGGGGCATGGTAGGGTCTGAAAGGAAAAAAGAGGTTATGTTTTTGTGTAAAATCCATCTCGTATGTCCTCGTGGAAGCGCTTTATTTATTTTTTTCTTTTTTCTCTTCTTTTCTTTTTCTTTTACTTTTTCTTTTTATTTTACTTTTCTTTTCTTTCTTTTTTTTCTTTTCTTTGTTTTTTTTCTTTTCTTTATTATTTCTTTTTTTCTTTGCTTTTCTTTTCTTTTCTTCTCTTTATTATTTCTTTTTTTTGCTTTGCTTTTCTTTTCTTTTCTTTTCTTTTCTTTTCGCTTTTCCTTTTTCTTTCCTTTCTTTTTTTCTGTTCTTTTCTTTTCTTTGTTTTTCTTTTTCTATTCTTTTCTTTTACTTTCTTTTGTTTTATAGAGGGTGAGGGATTTTTTTTATTTTGTTTTTTATTTATGAGTTTGGTCTCATTTTCACCGGTTTTTGTTTAGCTTTCAGTAGTTCACTCGATTGATTGTGATCTATGATTCACTCCCTCATTTCTTCTCTCTCTCTGTCTATTTTTTTTATTTATCTATCTATCTCTCTATCTCTCTCTTTGGTGATCTGTCTGTATATGTCTGTTTATCTATCTATCCATCCATCTACCTGTGTATATGTCTATCTATCAGTCTATCTGTCTGTCTATCTATCAGTCTATCTATCTGTCCGTCTATCAATCTAACTATCTGTCCGTCTATCTGTCAGTCTGTCTCTCTAAAATCTATCTGGCTGTCCGTCTATCAGTCTATCTATCTATCTATCTGTCTGTCTCTCTATCAATCAGTCTCTCTATCTATCTATCTATCACCATCCGTATTAGTCTTTCTTTTCGTAAGGTATATCTATTTACAACTTTACAGGGGCAGATGACGTCATACGAGAGTGGAAGTGGTGCCAGGGGGAGGGGGGGTTATGTTAACATTTTATGATCACGATGTGGAAAGCCCAAGGAGGAGAAGGGGGAGGGGGAGAGGGAGGAAGGAGAATGAGGAGGGGAAGAGGGGAGGGGGGAAAAGGGGGGAGAGAGGAGGGAAGGGATGGATGGAGAGGAATAGAGGGAGGGAAGGGATAGATGGAGTGGAAGAAGGGGGAAGGATAAGAGGGGAAGGGAATGAAAAGGGGGAAGAGGAGGAAAGGGATAGATGGAGAGGAAGAGGGGGAAGGGAAGATGGAGGAGGAGAGGGGAGGGAAGGGATAGTGGAGAGGAAGAGGGGGGAAGAGAGGAAGGAAGGAAGGAGGGGGGGAAGATAGGAGGAAAAAAATAAAGGGGGATAGGGAAGGGAAAGAATTGTGAAGGGAAGAGGGAGAGGAAGCAAGAGAATAAAGGAAGAGGCATAGGGAAGACAACAAATAGAGGGGAAAGGAAAGGGGAAGGCAATGAATATAGGGGCAGGGGAAGAGGGGAGGGGAGGAATACTTACAGGGTGAGGGAACGAAAGAAAGGGATGAGGGAGAGAGAGGAAGGAAAGAAAGGGGGGGGAAGATGGGAAGGAGAAAGGATGAGAAAGAGAGGAAGGAAGAAAGGATGAGAGAAGAGAGAGAAGGAAAGAAAAGGACGAGAGAAAGAGAGGAAGGAAAGAAAAGGATGAGGGAGATAGAGGAAGGAAAGAAAACGGGAGGGGAAGATGGAAAGGAGGAATAGGGAGAGGGAAGAAGGGAGGGAATGAATAGGGGGGAGGGAAGGGGGAGGAACAGGGGGGAATGGGTAAGTGACTCATGTAACAGATGTCCAAAGATTCGCCGAAGTGTTGCCATCACAGGCGCCACTCATCATAACGTCTGTGTTATTCGTGCCTGATCTTTGTATGATGCCTTTGTTTCATATTTTTTTTTAGCTAAAATGTATTTTTGATGTTTCGATTCTTGTTATTCATAAATTATATTTCATTTTTGTGCATTAACTCATTTATTTAGTTACTTTTGAAACGGGAAAGTTTATGGAAAGTGAGTTGAGAAATGTTGCCAGATTTCATTTCCTTGCGGTTTAAATACCTGCACTGAAATCAGCTGATCGCGAAGAAGAACTTGGTCAGAGCAGAAGAGCTGACTCTGCAGTGTGCATGGCCTTTTCTATTGCAATTCACGCCCGATTTATTGTATTACCTGGCTCTTGTGTTTACCTGTTTGGGTATAAATAGTTCCCCCTTTATCTCTTGTGTTTAGTGCTGAAGCGTCGTCCCTGTTGTTGGAAAGTGGAAACGTTTTGGTAACTGTGATGTTGTGAAAAGGAAAAAAAATATGCTAAAGAAAAGACGAAGAGAATGATGAATAAATCTCACTATAAGGATGAAAGAAAGAAAGATCAGAAAGATCAGAAATAAAAAATGAGATGAAAGAATCAAGAAAAAGGTAACCGAAGACTACGTTTGGAATCCTTCTTTCTTCGGGTATGAGAGACCAATGGAGTGAAGCTGTGGGCGGCCCGCTATGAGTGATGGGCGTGCGGAGGCGTGCGGGCGGCGGTGGGCGGTCCCGACTCACCATCACGACCTTCCACCTGGGTGCCGTCGGGTCCCGTGCAGGTGTGACGGCCACGTGGACTTGTCTTGCACCTGTGTGTGTGTGTGTGTGTGTGTGTGTGTGTGTGTGTGTGTGTGTGTGTGTGTGTGTGTGTGTGTGTGTGTGTGTGTGTGTGGTGTGGTGTGTGTGGTGTGTGTGTGAGAGAGAGAGAGAGAGTGTGTGTGTGTGTGTGTGTGTGTGTGGTGTGTGTGTGTGTGTGTTGTGTGTGAGAGAGAGAGAGAGAGAGAGAGAGAGAGAGAGAGAGAGAGAGAGAGAGAGTGAGTGTGTGTGTGTGTGTGTGTGTGTGTGTGTGTGTGGTGTGTGTGTGTGTGTGTGTGTGTGTGTGTGTGTGTGACAGACAGACAGACAGACGGAAAGAAAGATAGAGATTCAGTGAAAAGGGGGAGACAGACAGAGAAAGAGAGAGAAGAGGGGGGGAGAAAAGACAGACAGACAGTCAGACAGAACCAGACAGACAGAAAGACAGAGTTAAAGAGTGAGGGAGACACAACGAGAGAGAGAGACAGAAAAAACGGAGAGAGAGAGGAGAGAAGAGAGAGAGAGAGAGAGAGAGAGAGAGGAGAGAGAGAGAGAGAGGAGAGAGAGGAGGGAGGGAGGGAGGGAGGAGGGAGGGGGGGAGGGAGGGAGGGAGGAGGGAGGAGGGAGAGAGAGAGAGAGAGAGAGAAAGACAGACAGACGAACAGATAGACAGAGACAATCTAAAAGATAGAGGTAAAAGAGAAAGGGGGAGACAACGCGGAGAGAGAGACGACACGAAAAACGAGAGTAAAAGAAAGAAAGAAAGGGAAAAGAAGCGAAGAGAAAAAGAGCAAATGCACATATAGCATGCGTTTCAAACCCCATAATCCCCCATGCACCTAACCCCCCTCCCTCCTTCCCTTCCCTCCCCCCTCCCCCCTCCCCCCGGCCCCGCACCAGCAGCACCCAACCTTGTTTCACTGACCCAGAGACTGTATCCGCCTCGGGGTGTATGTGTATCAGCTCCCAGGCTCCGGGTTATTCTATACACCTGTGTTCGTCTTGTTTGTTCTATGTTGGCACACCTTTCTGGCACGGCTCGGTCTCTACGCGTAATCGCTGGTTTGTCTGTTTGTTCAGCTTTGGCGGATTTTTTTTTTTTTAGGTATGTCCCGCGGTAGGTTTCTGGGCCGGTTGTGTTTGAATGGATGATTGCACGCACACGCACACGCACATGCATATGCACATGCACACACACCCACCACCACATACGCACACACACACACACAACACACACGCACACGCACGCACACACGCAGCACGCACCACGCACCACGCACGCACCACCATACACACACAACACATACACACACACACACACACACACACACACACACACACACACACACACACACACACACCACACACACACACACACACACACACACACACACACACATACAACACATACAACACACATATACACACACATATATATATACATCATATATATACTACATATATACATATACATCACACATATATATGTATATTATGTGTATGTTTTATTCGAGTATGTTATTTGTTTATTTATTATATAACCCGTATTTGCATATTCGTGTGTTCAGAATTAAAGCCTCTTAGTTTCCGCAGATTAGATAATAATGTTCGTGTAAGACGCATAATTAAACACTGAGAGGATAATAGGTCATCGCGTGGAGACCATTAATTAGCAGATGATTATGGCATAAAGGACAAAGCGGTTTCACGGGGGGGGGGAGAGGGGGATGTCTTAGGCGGTGAATGAGGGCTTTGTCTTGCCACTTCGCTGGGTTCTGGCTCCCCTCTTGCCATAAAGGGAAGGAAATTAATAGGTTGTTTGTTTGTTTTTTTGGTTGGTTCACTGATTTAATTTGGTTCTGGGTTGTTTATTTTGTTGTTTTGTTGTGTGTATGTGGTTTGTATTTGTTTTTTATGTGCTCTTCTCTTCTCTCTCTCTCTCTCTCTCTCTCTCTCTCTCTCTCTCTCTCTCTCTCTCTCTCTCTCTCTCTCTCTCTCTCTCTCCTCTCTCTCTCTCTCTCTCTCTCTCTCTCTCTCTCTCTCTCTCTTCTCTCTCTCTCTCTCTCTCTCTCTCTCTCTCTCTCTCTCTCTCTCTCTCTCTCTCTCTCTCTCTCTCTCTCTCTCTCTCTCTCTCTCTCTCTCTCTCTCTCTCTCTCTCTCAAACACATGCTTTCTTTCTTTCATTCGTACATTGTTTCCTTTCCACTCGTATTAATCTTGTATCGCTACCATGGCCTTTGTTTTCCGTAATCTTAATCGTATAAATGTAGGTAGGTCATATTTCTGATTTTTTTCTCTCTTTATTGTGGTCTGTCTTTGTCTCATTGCGCACTTACCCTTCTGTTATATGTGTTTTGATGCTGTATGTATGTATTTATTTTTTACATTCATTGTTATTTTAAAACGTCTTTATTTCTGTAGGTGTTATTTCCAATCCACGGTCAAAAAGTCGTTATGTTTGTTTATTTTTTAACACCAGCAATGTGTTCTATGTCCACTTGCACAGTAACTGTCAGAAAGCATGGTGATAAAAGATAAGATAAGGGAAATCATTTGCGCCCAATATGAGCCTCTTTCCACCCTTCACCCTTCCTGTTCTACTCCCTTTATTCCCTTCCCCTACTTTGGTCTATCCTTACCCTTTATTTCCCTCCGTCTCTCTCTCTCCCTCCTTTCTCTTCTCCCCGTCCCCTTATTTACCTTCTTACTTCGTTCTTTCTCCTTTCCGTTCCCACCCCCTTTTTTTCCCCTTCTCCCTCCGTTCGCTTCTCCTGCCCCGCCCCCTCATTCACTCTCCCCTCCCCCCCCTCCCCCGACGCTCCCCCACTCCCTCCCCGTTCTCACCCCGCCTCTCCCCCCCCAGAGCCGTCGATCCGCAGCACGGTGGTGGAGGAGAGCGTGAGCGACTCCCTGGTGGAGCGGTTCCTTCAGTGCCCGGCCGCGCGAGGGGGACCTGAGCGCCGCCTGGACACCGTCACCCTCCTGAAGAAGGATGGCTCTCTCGGGGTCATGATCGCCGAGGGCGTCGACCACGGCCTCTACATCCAGGCCGTGTCCCCGGGAGGCCCCGCCGCGCTGCAGGGCACCCTCAGGCCAGGTAAGTCGCTCCTTAGGGATGGAAGATGCTCCCTGGGTTCGGGGACGACGTGCGCGGTCTTTTGGTCATCTTTGGAATACCGCTTTCTTTGCTTCGTGGTGTTTCCTTTTACTTTATCATGTTTTTGTTTTTATTTATTTATTTATGCTGTCGGGGTGGGAATGGAGAAATAACAAACCGCTTTTTCAAAAAGGTTTGAAAGCGTTCTTATTCTCAAGGAGTCGATAAGGGAATATTCTTGAATGTTCGGTCTTTATTTCTGATTATCCGTATGTTTTGTTCATACCCTTTCGGCGGGATTCATTTTAGCCTTATCCTGTGAGGAACATGTTGCTCGAAGGTAGTCTTATAGATTATTCTATCGTCCATTAAGTTACCGTATGTCTGTCATATCTGGATATCCTAAATTTGTATTGGTAAAGTGCAAAATACGGATGGGTAATATTGGAAAGTTTATTCACGTAATGGATATTTTATTCCATAACGAAATACAAAACCGTGAGATCAAAAATATACAAATACACAAGAGGTTCATAAGATGCCGTTGGTCATCACCTCTCTCTGTGACGAGAAGGAACTTTGTTTAGGAGAGACAGTGGGAGAAGAGGGATTAAGGGGCAGGGGAAGAAGGGGAATTAGCGTTGGGAGAACCCGAAGGGAATTGAAGGCTGGGGGTAGTTGTATCCCGCGGAGGACGGAGCACCCCTCACCGGCGGCGTCTGGTTCGTGCTCGAGCTGGAGGTCTGCGAGGTGGAGCCGGTGCTGGAGGTGGAGCCCTGGGCCTGCGTCTGGGGCTGCGTTTGGGTCTGCGAGGAGAACTGGGACTGGGATAGGCTCTGAGTCTGCGAGAGGGACTGCGACTGGGGTGGAAGGGTCGTCGCCTGGACCTGCGAGGCCTCGAAAGCCGCCGCCTGGAGGATGTACTCGCGGAGCTCGTCGTCGGTCACGTCCACCAGGTACGTCTCGGCTCCGGGTAGGCTCACCTGGCGCGGGGGGAGAGGGGGAGAGGGAGACGGTTTAAGAAACTTTATTGTTATCTGTTGGATTTTTACCTCTCATTCTTTTAGTTTTTTTCAATTTGTCAAGTGATTCTTCGGAAGAGAGGTGGTTTTAGTCCTAGGTTATTACTGTTTTTGTTATTTATCGATCTTGGGAGTAAATGAAGTTGGGTGTGCGCCGTCCGTAGACTTTTCCCTTACCTCGTACTTGGCGCGGTTGTCCTCGACGGCCTGGAGGTCCTGCGGTGCCTCGAGGCTCTCCTTCACTTCAGCGCGGTAGCCGTTCTCGTCGGCCGTGTACCTGAGGGGGCGGGGGGAAGGGGAGAGAAAAAGGGGGGTCAGTGGCGGCGAGCAGGTGTTGAGACAACCACCCAGAAACACACATACACTTTGTTCTATAAATACACGGGTAGCAAAAGCACCAGTCAGTCAGGAGAACTGCGCACTTTAGTTGCGAAACTCGGAGGTGAAGGTGAAGGTGAAGGTCTAAAGGAAACAAGAACTACACATGGAAATAGAAGAGAATAAACAGAAAGGAAAAAAAACAAGACATAAACGTACATGACGGTCATGTAGACGCCATCGGGACGCAGGTACGAGTAGCTCCCGACGAGTGGGCCGTC